GGGAGATCTGGGGTCAGTTGGTGGACTGAATTCTCTCTATAGACATGCAGATTCAGACATCTGCTTATGGAATGAAGAATCTTCCTTGACACGTTCATTAGAGAAGACCAGACAATGTTAACTGAAAGCACAGTCAGAAAAAGAAATTTGCAATGTAAAGTTTATTAAAAAAAAAAAAAAAAAAAAAAAGTTTGGCCAGACTGTATTAAAAAAATAAAAGCCTAATCTGACTGTGGCAGTACTGTATTTTGTAGAAAACAACAGGGAGGGGGTGAGTTTTAACCTTCAATCCCTCTCCCCACAAATATATTTTTCACATATTACAACTGATGCAAATTCCAACTTAAAAAAGCAGGTTCCAAACCAGCCATTAAAACATACAAATAAAAAAAAAACAGTGTGTGATCCAGACAGCTAAGTAATAAACACTTTCTGCTTCTTAGATGTTCCTTCTTGAGGAGGGTTTGTTCTTGATCTGTAGTTATGCTGAGGTGGATAATTTGATTCACAACTAGAAAGAACTGGAGATTTTTTTTTCACATTTTGCTCTGAAATGCTGCATTAATTGTGTTATTCTTTTCAGCATAGATGCTTCACTGACATTTTAGAATTTTTCATATTTCTAAATTTCTTGGTAAAAATAACAACCTTGTCGATTATTAGAAAATTGCCATTTCATAATGGAAATACCTGAGCTTCTACTTAAGACTTGTTATTTCCCTTAATATGAAGGTTTTCAACAGACCTTAATAAGAGGCCCTTTTGAACACTAATCAGAAACAACTGCTATCATTACAAGTACTTTATTTCTACCACAAAAATAACTGTATGCTGTCCTGAGTGACAATAACCTCTACTGAATTTCACTCTGTAGACAGATAAAACCTCAGCTACATCAGCAGCTGAAGATGTGCCCAGTTACGAAGGTAGTTTCAACTTTGCTATGCAAAATATAGGTTAAATATACAAACTAGCATATGGTTTAATCCAGTAAAAGTGGGATAGCTTGTCAGAGAAAGTACACTGGCAAATGGACAACCAGTTGAACATGTTATATTTTAATTTGCAGAGACAAAAATGACAAGCAATTTATTTACATAAAACTGTACAAAAGCAAATTAAATTATGTAAATATTTCATAAATAGAGGTGGACTAGCGCTTAATACATTTTGCCATGTTTAGCATAGTTGCGTGCATAGTGACTCGTAATAAACAATGATAAATTTTTCTCTGTTTCACTATCAACATCCAAGTTGCAGAACAACAGTCAATGATTAATATTACAAACAGATCGTATCACACTGAATGCAAGTGCTTTAAAATTTAGGAAAAAGTTGTCTGAAAGCATACCCCAGTAGCTGGTGAATGTTGTCTTCTTCCTTGTGTTTATGCTTTTCAGTCAGTAATACAAATCAACTGATGGACTTTCATTTCTATTGCTATTTCACCTGCTTCATTCCTTAAGGAAACACTGAATATTTATCACCAATGAAACAAAAGGGAAAACAATTTGTTGTTCAAGTTCCTTACAAGTGTTTGGTGATGGCTGGATTTATGGCAAGGTCTTTAGCTGCATTCTTTGTTTTCGTGTTTGACAACTTCCTAGGGTAGCCTTTCAGCCAACCATTTCAATCCCTTTTTAGTTCTTCCCCCACATAAAAATAATGTTTAACTTTTTTTTTTCCTGAAACTCAGGCAGCAGGCCAGCCAGAAACCATATTGAATAAACATAGTGGATCTGAGATCCAGAATGAGCATTAGGTTTTAGACGAAAGCTATTGGATTTTCTAATACATATAAAGTTATATATTAATGCATCAATCCATAAAGGTGCCCTAATGTAAAATACATGCAAAGCTCATCTGAGTTTCCCATGGAAGGAAATAAAAGGATGATTTCTATACTGTACAATTGAAATGTGATGATAGCTAAAAGCAATTTAAAAAAAAATATATAATTGCCAATTTTCCTGCCAACACGAACTGGTGACATCTTGCTAAACAACTACAATATAAACAGATCATGATTTTCCAGGCAGCAGAATTAAAAACAAATGAAAACAACCCCAAACCCCACAAAAATAGCAAGAAAAAAAAATCTGCAAGACCTACTTAAACCACAGCCTTGTGTTAATAATGCCTAAGACTGGTCCATTAACTGAGTTTGGCAAAAGTCTTGTTTTTAAATATATTATTTATAATTTCTCTGAAAATAAACACAGGTAAATATACAGGTTCAAAAAAGGTGGGAATAGCCCCTTATCCATCAGTGTCCAAACCCAATTACCACTTTACCATAATAATAGGTAGAAAAGGCACAGTTGCATATTTTGCATTCACCCTAATTATTTTTTATAGTTTTATTTGTATATTTTTATACAAAAGCACTCTATTTATGGAGTGGCACCAGATTTAACCTATTTTAAATAAAAAGAGAAAATACAAACACAAAATATATTTGTGTGTCATGCCAGGTCAGAAGAGTAATCAGCGTATTAATAGTGGCTAGTTCCACTAGAATTACTGTGAACACTTACAGTAGATATAGATGAATTTTTAAAAAATTCTTTCACACCCATTTTAGACCTAAGGAGATGTACATGAGTAAAGTATTTAATGACTGTCTTATGTGATGCAAAAATTGGTGAGTGACTGCTGATCCGTTTAATCTGAAGTTCTTCTATGACCTGTATTATTTGCCTTGTAGAAAAAGGGTCTAAGAATACATGGAAGCAAGCTACCTATTTTATTTTTTTATGTGTAATAGTAAATAAAATCTTATTAAAGGAAATTCTGTGAACATTTGTGTTATGCAATTGTGTATTCTGTCGAAACGTGCAAGAAAAATGTGTATACATTACATAAGCATTTTTAGAAGCATTTTTAAACAGGTACTTACAGATTATACAAAGCAGTAACTGCTGTGTGCAGTGTCATAACAAAGTACTAGTTTGCATCTCTCCATATTACTTAAATAATTAAACATAAAAATGTTCAATCATTATTAATCTTTGATTTTAATATTTTCTTTCTAAATGTGCCCATTCATCATAACTGCTATACACAGACTGATGTTGAAGAAACTCAAGACGGGAAAATGAAATGGCCAATACTGGCACATCCCACTATATGGAGAAGTGAATTTAAAAGATAAATGTGATGAGTTGTATTGATTTACCAGCCTCTACTTTAGGCTGTTTAAGGTTATTTCTATTTCAGTTCTTCAAAGCAAGAAACTAACCAAAGCTACATTGTAACTACAGTATACTGGAGAGACATCTGGCCATGCCTTAACGCCAGGTTAAACAGCCAGGGATTTGGATGCTTCCCCGTTTCTCAAGCTATCTTTGCTGTGTTTTTGATTGTCACTTTCATCTGACTGTCTGAGTTCAGTCTGTCATTATTACTACAGCTTCAGCTACAAAGTAAGTGGTTGAAGTTCTGCATGTTTTGTTGCTTTTATTGCACAAACACCTGTTTCATTTCCTCATCCTTTCAAGCAGCACTCACCATGAGAATCGTTACAGCCCAGAGCTCTTGCATGTCATGGTAGCTTGGACTCCTTGTGACTCATCTTGACCTGCTAGGTGAGTATCATACTGCTGTTTATCAAACCATTTTCTACCTAGCAGAAATGTTGCGTGTCTTGACATCCTTCAGTAATGCACTTCTCTCAGTTTTAATGCACTTGTGTTTCACGAAAGTCTGCATTATATGTTTGACATAATTGAAGCAATTGGTAATCTGCAACACTGATGAAAAAACACTTAGCATTCATTCCTTGAACTTTGAAAAGAAGGTTTTGTGTTTGACTTGTAATACTCTCTTGTCATCATCCCATTGTCCACCCTTTCCATCCCACTAAGCATTCTCATTAGCACAGTCTTCTATTCCTACTATTCATTTTTAATTTTGATCTTAAAAATTCCCTGAAACTGGTATATGCGCACATCATAAGCAGCATCTGCTGCAACATGTCATGTCGTTACAAAAAAACCCACATCAGTTCCTTTGGGCATTCAATTGAACCACACTGGAAGAAAAAAATGACTTGTGAACTGTGCTGCTGTGCAAGATGTAACTGAAGGTGTGTTATGAGTACCCATGTATATTTGTGGATATATTAGTTTTCTAAGCCAAGCCCCAAAACTTAGCAGTTCCCCTGATCCATTGTGTGATCTTTGGCCTTTTTGTTATTACCATCTTCCCAGCTAGATGTTAGTCTTGCCCAAAATAATGATTTCAACAGTTTATCATTACTATCCTATGGTATATGTGTTGCTAATTGTGTTTACGTTGAAGTAATCATTACAGAGAACAAGAGAGAAGGAGAGAAAGAGACACAGCAAGAACACGTTTGTTCTATGGATAAAACAGAACCAGAGTTCATGAATCATAGGAAAGTATGCCGTGGTTTTGACTGCAGTCTCAGGCTGAACGCATTTCTGTTGCTTCCAGCCTCAGATGAGAGGTGGGAATATTAAAGCTGTGGTCTTCACAAAGTGCCTATTAATGATTATTCCTTTATATTTATCTCTATATCTGTATGGTTTCTGAAGGATTGTCCCTGTGGGGATCAGCAATATTCAGATGATATGTTTTTAATACATTTTCCCTGACCTGTTATCCTCAACAAGCCAGATGACAATCAAACGACTGGCTTAACTCATGCTTCTGCAGAGGGGAAACAACAGTGTGTTGTGTTCTTTTTAAACAAGCTCATTACTATGGGAGGAATTTGCAACTATAGATTTAGGAAAATAAAAATCTGTGAGGGGGAATTAGACATGCAAGTAACAACATTTTCTACATTGTACAGTATAGTCAGGCAGACGGTATAATTAAATGCCTGCTATGGAAGCAGAAGTGGCAGGCAGATCTTTTGTCTCTTTGGTGGCCCCCTCTTTATTACTTTTTTTTTGTTAAAATTGTTTTGATTTTAAGACTTTTGACCCCTTTCTTTCTTATAATATGAAAGAACTTTGTTGCTGCTTTTTAGCCTACAGGTAAACTTCCCTTCTAGTTAGAGTATTGACAGGAGATGGCTTGTATTCCCCTGTCTGTGTAAGGGGGATATCCTCTGGATTGCCTTCTTCATTTTTGCTGAAACTAGCCGCGTTGAAGGTCTCATAGGATGAGGTCAACTTTTTGTTAAGGAGGTTTCTGTTGCGATCACCCATGAGGGAGGCTTCTCCATTGGCCAGCTTTTCCTGACTGCCCCGTTCATCGACAGGCATGAAAGTGGAGAGTTTTGGCTGGCTCTTCTGCTTTCTTTCAGGAGAAGTGCGAACTGGCATCCAGCAGGAGTCCGAGTGGCCATATTCATCACACTCTCGGGTACACTTCCCTGTCAGGGCTACATCTGGTAGAGGCCTTGAATCTGAAAGTAAAATAGAGTTGTCTTTACAAATGAATAACATTGCAATGACTTCTAGTGAAACTGAGAATCCTTAAATTCGCAAAAGGTATTTTTAAAGGTCATGATAAAAACATTGCAGTAAGTTCCTCAATAACAGTTTTTTTTACACTGCATGTGCCTGTAGGCAACAAGCATATCTGCAGTTATCCTCAACCTCAAGAATTGAAAAATAAGACTATTAAGCAACTTCTTGGGCTTGTAAATCAATCTCAAAAGCATTTCGTATTAGGTACTGAATGAATTTTTGATGTTTAAAAGGGTCAACCAAGCACTTAATTCCATACTGCCAATTTTCTTGAAATTATTAAAAATACCTTTCTTTGAATTTTTGTAAAGAATGCTTTGAATTTATGTGAAAGGAACCTGAGGCCCTGGACTCTGCAAGTACTTATGAACTTATTTAATGCTCTACAAGTGAGCAGCTCTGTTACTGACAATATGTGACTTAATTTGCACATAATATCAGCCTCTGCTTATATTTCTGAGGATTTGGCATTCATTGTTAGTACACAATATGTTACATGAATTGTACAGTCATTGATTAGTAGGAGCATTTTAAAAAAATTTTTAAAAGAATTCCAAATTTCTAAACCTTGTTTCTACTTCCAGATCTTGCATGTGAAAATGAGGCCAACCTAACAACCCTTGTGTAGGTCTCCTTCAATTTCCAACACATAATTTGAATAAAAGCATCTAATTTGTATGATAACACATTACAAAAGCATACTGCTTTGGTTTAAAAGCAGCCTACCAAGCATAGGTTATAAACTTAATTGGTTATAGACTTAATCTAATGTACAGATAAAGCTGTTCTGTGTGTTGCGTATGCATGTGGAGGGACGGAGAATCTGAGTGCTGCCTGAATAGATGCACTAATGTTTTATACGTGACTTACTGTGTTAGAAGGTGTCCTGTTCCAGGTCACTGTGTCTAAGCTTTCTAGCTACTGTGCTTGTAAGAACTTTCACTGAAAACTATCAAAGTTCAGGAGACTGCAGGATTGACTCCTACCTGATAAAAACACAGGTAGTTTTTAATATTAATATTTTGATACTTGTAATGCAACTGAATTAAGAAGCTACCTCAACTGTTCTAAGTACTGGGTAAGGTTCTGAAACCTTGCTTTTACTCAGGTCTACTATACTTTAAGGTCTGCAAGAAATAACTGGAGCTGCCTACAAAGTAACAACAAAATATTCAAACAATTAAAGTTGACAAAGAACAAAAAACAGCAAGTAAATTAATTTATCCAGTTTATTTGATATGACATTCATATAATATGACTTATTTGATGAAATTTTTATGTTCCTTTTACAAAAAATCAATTATCTGAAAAAGGAGCAAGGAGCTTAAATGTGGAAACACAGTCAGGTACTTCATATGGGCTGTGGCAACTTTCTACCTTCCCACCACAACACCCAAATTCAAGTGAACAGTATTTTTACCAGTAATAACCTATGCCTCATAAAATATCTTTTAAAGGCCTGTTCAGCCTTCATTTTGTTCCTTGATATTTTTTGATATCTTTAAAAAACCTATTCAGCCTTCATTTTGTTACTTCTGTTTTGCCCATTTTTTCTTTGATTTTGGCTGCCAGATGACTTTCTCAAACAGTGACAATTCCAACTGTGAAATTTTAATGAATTTTTAAATAAGACCACTGCTGAGGTTAAAATGAAAAACAAAAAAAAAAGCAACCAAAAATTCTTTGCCTCTTCCACAATTAATTGGTTTAATTTAAAACATTTACAACAGGTGCTTGCAGATCAAGCATATTTCATTTCAGCAACTGCAGATTTAATCCTGATAGAATTGCAAAAGCTCTTGAAAGTCAGCTTTATATTCATCCTGTCCTGATTTTTCATGCATTTAAACATTCATTTAATTAGTAATATGTTGCAGCATTGCAAAGAATATGTATATTATTTATTATTAACAGTTGTCAACATTTTTATAGAATCTACTGTATGTATTCTGAATACTGTATAATATTCCGTATTTTAGTACATTACTGATTTTAATGAGGAAATGAGCGCTGACGTAACTGAGTAACTCTGTAGCTGTGTGAGACTGAGAAGAGGGAATTGAGTGTTTTTTTTTTTTTCCTAGTTATACTTTTTTAGGCTTTTAGTCTTAGACTCAGCCATGATTCCCACTTTTTTTCAGTGAAGAATGCAAAGACTGTGAACAGATCTCAGCCCATCAGTTTTCAGATCCCTATGTTCTAGAGATGCAGACAGAAGATGGGGACTATAACAGGAAAATTCTCAATTTGTCAGCTAAATTATAGTATTATTCTGGCACTCTCTGAAGGTAGGAAGCATAATTAACTGCTGAGCTGCACCTGATGTGCTTTGATTTTTCAACAAAAAAACCCTCTTCATACTTTTACAGCAGGGCAAATCCCCATGTCATCTAAATCTTAATAAACTCTTCAAACAGTACCTTATTTCAAAAAAATAACCATTAAAGATTATGCTTACTACTAGTATTTCAGTTGTTGGGCAAAATATTAGCAAATACTTAGCAATATGTCTGACCTTTATCTAAAACATAGGAGTATGTGTTTATTGAAAAAGTTTTGTTGTTGTTGTTGTCTGGATACTTTTTTCCAGATTGAAACAATTAATGTGTCATTATATCTGATAGTTTGTTTTTAGTGCGAACAAATCTTGAGCCAGCATTACTTGGGTTGATAAAAAAACCTTCCCTCGCTAGTGGTCCTTGAGTCACAGACTTTAGAATTTGCCATTATGCATTGTAGTGCATCCCCTATTCACTTCTGGACAAATGTTAGAATTCCTTATCGTAAAACATGGGGACTTGCTGTACAATTCAGCCTTATAGTGCTGTTTTATGAAGCAATAACCTCTAAGCCAGCATGTGGCTGACTCGCTCTGTTGGGTTATGTGATAAACTTCATCTTCACACTCACCAAAGAGCTCAGAGACACTGGCAGGATAATACTAGCCCAAATGATACCCAGACAGGCTACTCCCAGGCCCATCACAGAGGCCATCTCCCAGGCCCAGAGGAGCACAGCGGTGTATAGTGGCAGACAGAAACCAAAATCAGGGACTCAGGAGGAACAGCCACCTCATTGGGGGCCGTTCCCAGGGCTATACTATCAGAGCCATCAGCCCCATAGTCCTGTTGTGAAACCCATCATCATGAGTCGTTGGCAGCTGCTCTCCAGATCACTTTTCTAACAGGGGGGATTGCTGCTTAGGTATCTAGGACACATTATGGGATATGGGGAAAAACAGTTTGGGATAACTATGTGATGTTTAGGGGAGGAACAAAAGGGAGGACAGAGGAGGGGTTTAAGTGATTTCAGGAGGATAGGGAGTGGGAAAATAGAGAAATAAGGGGATAAAAGGGCCAGACACATGTAAATAGTTTGCTGGCGAAGAAGCGTGTCTGGTTGTGTCCTGTGCCTGATCATCACCATCTGTCCTATCTTCTTAATAAATTCCTTTCTAACTCTTTCCTGGGTATGGGATCTATATTAAGTGTGCACATGCATGTATACATATGTACATGTCCACTCTCACTAGTGGACTTTTATCTGGTCAAGCCAGAGAGGGCAGCAGAATGAGGCCACTGGTGCTGTCTGTTTTAGTATGAGTGCCCTGAGTGTCTATGATCTGTGTGGCCAACTATGTATATATTTGGAATGTGTGCTCTGTGTATGTGCCTACCAGGTATACATCTTCATCTTCGCTCCCAGCTGGACCTGGGGCAATGGAGCAGCAGCAGCAGCCTCACCTCCCTCATGCTATCGGATCCAGTGTGATACACTTTCCTCTAAAACACCTTTTAATTGGTATTTGGCATGTACAGTTAATGTAGCCTTCTACCCCATTGCTTTCTTGCATCTGTTGTAAGAGCTTGAATCAGTACAGCATTTAAGCACACATTTAACCTAACATGTTTTGAAACCTGTTGCATTGTAACTGCTCTTCTGTTTAAAAGATGGACATAACTTCAGGATTTGGTTGGCAGGGGCAAGCAGTGCAGGGAAGGAGGGAATTTTCTGCGTGTGTGTGTATCAGAAAATGGATAAAACATCCAGGGCTGTCAGGATTAAACTATTATCAGTATCTAAACTAGTCAGTAAAGGAAAACTTGGATATTTTCTATACACTGCAGTACATAACAGAGATTTAACCTTCGTTTTGAGTAAATTGCCACACCACTTCAGTTACAAAGTAACTAACTGTATTTTTGCTAATTCTCTGAAAAGACTGACCCTCTTTTGCAAAGTCGTAGTTTTATACCCCTCTTTTTATATCATCTGGCCCATGGAGTTGTGAACAATCTCTGAATTTGAAGAAAAAAAAAAAAAAGGTTTCTTTTGTCCTCCAGCATAATTTACATCCAAACATATCTATCTCTAAGTGACATGCTTTTAAGTACTTCTCAGCTTTAAAATTAAACACTTTAGTAGCAACCACACTGCTAGCTGACAAGCCTAATGGAATATGACACAGCAAAGAATTTGTCAGCACAATTGGCAAGACACCAAGGATGAGTACGAGATTTCTACCACAGTTACATATCTGGAAACTGACTCAAATATGTGCTTAAAATGCCAGTTATTAACAAACAAATGTTATCACAATGCTAATTAGAAAATAAAGCTGGAGGAATGATATTTCTTGTCATACAGAAATTTGAAGATTTGCGGTTAGGTTTTAACTGTTTGTACATAGAGTAATCAAATGTAAGCTTTTATTTGCATAAAATTATCTCCAGAGTTACTATGGAAGATGTCTTTAAGTTATTTTCAAGTATATCCTCTTATGGTGTCTCTACATCAGAACTAAGTATTGCTAGACTATTTACAAAGCAATTGAAAAACCAGCTCCCAAAAATACAGATACTTAGACAGGTTTTAGGTATATACGTCAATGGAGACTTCATAAGTGAATATTTATAAAACAGATTTCACTCGCAAC